GAGAATGTTGCCTATTATATATAGCTGATCAGTTGTGCTGTAATATACGTACACCATTAGCAAAAGACTGTACACTGTTGTTGGATAACTTAAATTTTACACAGCGTTGTTCGCCGGTTTGCCGTTTTATTACACAAAAGTCTTATTATTCGTTTAACTAAACAGCAAGGCAGTTCAGCAACTTCTAGAATCTTTACGTTAATGTAAACTGGCAAAAGTGGCATGTTGAATAGATTAAATTAAAATACAAGCAAATTACAAGCAGTTCTTTTGTTTCTGTGCTAACGGTTTCGACGAATTTTCAGGTTGCTGTTGAATTATTACCCAACGCTTACCCAGCACAACACTTGCTACTCAATTTACAATAGTTTATAAACGTCTTCAGCAATGACTCTTTTGGAGTTGCGAAAACGACCATCAGCAAAAGCAGCAGATCATTTGGCAAGCGTAAGGGTGTTTTCGATAAATTCTCGCTGAGCCAGTAGTTTAATATGGGAACAGAGTGCAAGGTATGACAGACGATCAAGGACCTTCCTCTGTTCATACAGCTGAGTCGTGGGACCAGGGGGGAGGGTGATACGAGATAGTTGGTTAAGCGAAAATGGGGGTTTGTTAGTGCCATAGACAAAAGTAAAGGGTAACACTTAAGGGCTGAAAATGCTTCAGGAAAAAGCGCCTCACAACCTGTCACTTGTGCTTATAGTCATGGTTTCATTTGCTCACGAACAATATGAAATCAGCCAACTTCGTTTGCATGCAAAGATTTTGGCGATTTCCATTTCAACGAAACAAACGACTGTCCCAATTTCAGGCATTTGAACACCCTTCTTTTTTATAACAAAGGCCACAGTCCACGTTTTTCTACACTTCGCATTTAACGGCAAAACTATTCTGCGCCTGTCATGCATTCAATACTTTTTTGCCATAAACCAAAACTAACGTACACAAGGGCAAAAAGAATACAATGTGCAGTAGGAGTATTTTACCAACGCGCATGATTGATAAAGTCTTGCATTCGCTTGGAAAAAAATATTAAGATGTTTTGAAACAGACTACGAAAAACGCCCTTACACAGCAATTTACTATTGGAAGTTACCCAAAATAAGTATTTTTAAATTGTTTAACTTTTTCCCCATTCTTTCCGTGTATCAAAGAAAAAAACAGTGGCTTTTGAATGTTGCTTAAAAATTACTAATGACGGATGTAAAATGTTTTGGAGCATAATCACATAAGTACATCAACGATATTTAATTATCTGTCGCATTTAATGCTATTTCTGATAAAACCTAACTGCCGCTATCTTTAAAGCAGACGGAAAACTTCAATGACCTATAGGGTTCCAGTGTATTTCCTTAATCAGGCTTGGCTCTCGTCAAGGCTGTTTAAACACCAGATTTACTTTGTTGTATCAATCAGTGTGCTTAACGAGAGAAAGATTACTTGCATTATAAGGGCAGTATGAGCTTGGATTTTTTAAAATAGCTTAATATAATGCAGTCAACTCATTTTAGTAAGCCTCGCTTTAAACTATTTCCTGTCTTCTTATTTAACTACTTTATTTTTAATTTCAAACCGAAATTTGTGAAGCGTAACCGATAAACTTATCAAGATTGTGTGCTACCTCCCATCTTATTTCTACTTTCTTCTCATCCCTTAAAAAAAATAGAGTTAAACAAATATTATTGTCTAAGCGGCTAATAAAATGGTAGACTGCCACAAAAGCAGACTTGCCAATTTGTACGGAGCCTGTCGGTCTGTTCAACCTCTTTGTACAACAAAGGCTGTTAAAATTTTAATGCTGTAACGTATCGTTAAATAGTAAAAATATTTCAAAAGATTACCGAAAAAGGCACGCAAGGCTAAAATCATAATTTCGCATTAATTAGCCGTCATCAGCCAGCCATAAACAACCCTACGGTTAGAGTATCTGGAATCTTTTCTGGGAGTTCGGTCTTTAATTCAAACGTCTTATAACTGGACCAATTGTCCAAACGGTCGCTATACGGAATGTAACTGATGTTGTAATTTGGTTACGGAACGCGAATATCCCTTCACCAATTCGGTAATAGTAAGTCAGAAAAAAGCAAACAAAATAAACACTGTGTAGACGTTTAGTGGAGCCTCACCTCCCTGGATCCCGAACAAGAGGTTAATAAAATGTGTATGGAATTACTCAGAGTGTGCTAATTTGTTACGGTCAGAGATCTTTTATCGCACAATCATTGCTTTTGTCATTCTAAGTGGACCGAGTATAAACTATTCAGATCAGAATTTGTATTAATGTTTGCCCATAACAGTCGGATAGCCCCTTTACAGTTTCATTCTATCCTACTTGCAGTTATTAGTCACGATTGAGGCGCACGACCTTGGACAGCCCCCCAGGCATTCCGTCTGTCAGGTGCGCATTACAATTCTGGATGAAAATGACAACGCTCCCAAGATACTATTTGAGCCCGGGAGTCTGACCAACTACGCTCTAGTGCCTGAAAACGAGGAAGCGGGGCGGATTGTTGCCGTCTTCACGGTCACCGATGAAGACAGCGAGGAGAACGGACAAGTTGACTGCCTCCTATCCTCGATCTCCTCCAATGGCCTAGATGCAGCGAATCAGCAGTTCCCCAGCGAACTCTCGAATCTGCATTCCTCAATGGAACGATCCGTAGACAAATTCTTCCAACTAGAGAGAATAGAGCTTCCATTTTCCACAGTGTAAGTGCAAATGACATCAAAATGAAGTAATATTCTCAGTTGCCAGTACTCCTTGATTTTGCCAAAAGTTCCTATGCTCAGTATAGAATGTGTTAAATACTCTCTAAGCTGTATATATAAAAACTTGAAAGTGCATATTAGGCTTTCAAATACCACCTTAATTGGTAGGAATGCTGGCGGAATGTCAGAAAATCATTGTCGCAGAACACTTATTCGATGAAGACATGAGCAAGTTACTTTTTAATGGAATTTCCCGACGCAAGCTTTGAAAAAACGTCCAAGTCTCTAAATATTGCAGTACTTGATTGCATATTCTGAGGTATTGCTTGCAACATGAACAGTCAATGTGTTAGTTCACATTATTTTTTGGTTTGTTTCCGATCAAGCTGTTCAAGAAATTCAGTAAAAGTTGCAATCTTGAGTGATTTTCTCATTAAAATAACTTTGTTGTCTCCCTGGTTTCTATTTTTTATATAAGATTAAAGTACACCGAACAGTTTTCCTTTACGAAGTGCGTAAAAGCAATTTTAAGCTTGTGAGATGAACACGTGAGTGGGGTTGTTGCACTTAACTTTGCATTTGTGAGCAGTTGTTACTAAGCTTATTTTTGTATTGTAAACTACGAAACACCTTAACTCAGCTAGTTCCTTAAGTTAGTCCTTCGCTCTTTTTTAACATTTACCATCATTCGACAATCGTAGGCTTTCGTAGACGCTCTAGGGTATGTAACTCTATCGTGGTTGACAAGAAATAAATGTAGTCTTCGTTTACGAAAAAAAGCCGTTTGAACATATTTTGAATCATTTGAATTCTGACCATTCTTGGTTTGTCCCTCGCAAAAGATTGGATGATAATTAGAAAAATATAGTTGTACTAAAAATAGGGTAGGTTTTTCTAATAGGCTACTAAAACTGCGGACCTTCACATATTATTTGGAGTGGAATCCCATAGTTCTTACATGGGAACTGCAGGTGAAACGAATCATAACTTCTTCTCGCCCACTTTGAGAGAAGGAAGCAGATAAGCAGTGAATTAAGCACCTCAGCACGACGTCTTTGTTTGGTGTGTGACGCATTAAGAACGGTCTAGGGGTGTCATTGACTTAAGTTTCAGTCCCACGGTTACTTCAAGATTATCTGTGCGCTTGGCTGTCCGCTCCTCACTAAATAAATGACGTTCTTGAAAGAAGGCATAAGTGAAGTAAATGGATAGCTGCACTTCCTTTCGGCGTTATAAGGCTGAATAAAGGAGTGCTTCGCACCAGGATAATAAGTTGATAACGATCCCTAGTTATTCAGCTAGAAAAAATGGGAATATCTAATGTGTGTCGCCAAAATTAGTAATGATTCCATTACCTTACAACAGGCAAATAAGTAGGCATGCAGGGCCAAGAAGGGAGGGGTGGATATAAGAAAAGCATGCATTATTTTGGACTACGCACGCACAATGAAAGCCACACACAGTGTATGGTTGCACGCTTAGGTGCAAGCTCACGCCGCGCCAACCATACACGTCCAATCTCACTTTTTGTCTTCATGAATATCTTATACCACTGAACCATAGTGTATGGGGTGAATCCGCGGTTCTTTAGAATTATATGTCATACATAATGATCTGAAGGATACGTCCTACTAATGAATTTACGCTCGTGCCGAAGCGGAAATTGTGCCTGTCCTCAATGGCTTCAGCGTCCGCATGGACACGGATCAGGTCATATGCGCGGAAGTCGATACGCAGCAAGCGGATACAAAGGCAGTAGTTTCATTCAGTTGCGGGTATGCAA